GGAGTACTCCTGCAGAAACAGCGGCCAACGAAGCGACTCCCTCCCCCGCCGGAAACCCGCCGGAAACGGAAGACCCCGCCTCCCTCCCCCCTTGGCTGTCCCTGCCCGAGCTGAGGGACGTGCTCGCGGATTCGCTGAACACCTTCGACCTGCTGCCGATCGACGAATCGAACGAGGAATTTTCCTTCGATGCTCTGATGTCGGACGAGCCCGATGGGCTGGAGAACGCCTGGCTGTTTGAGGTGATCGTTCGGAATTTTTTCATTCAGGAATAAATTTTTGTCTTCCGGAATGGGAAGTACCTCAAACACAAAGTTCACTCATCGTCAAGACGGAATCAAAGTCTTGAGTCCCTTATAATCTCCAGTGAAAAACGTCATAGTTCAACTTCATGAGTGTGCAATTTATTATGGTTCAATCTTGCTCAGTATGTGTACAATACAGATGTACTGAAAATTCACAGATGTTTTTTTCCTCTCTCTCTCTCTCCCTCTCTCTCTCTCTCTCTCTCTCCCTCTCTCTCTCTCTCCCTCTCTCTCCCTCTCTCTCTTCTGCAGGGAGCATGGCATCATCCGCCAGAAGCAGGACCAAGCGAGACCTCGAGCCCCCCGACCCCCCCAGCCGACTTCGGCGGCATCGACCGCCCGGCCTCAACGGAGACCCCAACCCCGCCAGCGAACTCGCCGACCGCCCCTGCCCCGCTGCCGTCATTCGAATCCGGGCGGGGAATTTCCTTCGCCGTGACGTCAGGAGGGTCTGGTCAGCTGGGGATGGACATATTGTCGATGGCGATGATCGGGAACGGTCTCGTTGAAGAAGAACGACCTTCACTGGTATAAAATAATTGTCTCTGACATTTTATGGGTACTGGGCGGATTTGAATGCTAGAAGGCTTTATTTTTAATGGGTTATTTATTTGACATATTTATATGTGTAGCATATTATATTGAGAAGTGAATACGCGTGTTTTAACTTGACTTCTGAGATTAAATTGCATGAATGTAAGTGGAGTAGAAAGATTTTCATGAAAATCTCCATCATTGCCACCCATCTGCATTTTGATGTCATTTTTGCATGTAAGAAAATTGTCTTCACCCGAATCAGCCTGGATGCTCTCTCTATTGCTCATTCCCGTCCTCCCTGCATCCCCGTTCGCCCTTCCTGTTGGTAGGTTGGGAATCCCCCGAGAGAAAAGGAACCGTGCGAAAAGGAAGAGAAGCGCAGGAGCCAGAAGCAAGCCAAGGCCGCCGAGTCCGCCAGGAGATGGCGAAAGAACCAAAAAGCGAAGCTGCAGCAGCTGGCGGCGGAACTGAAGACGGAAGAGGCGCGAGGACGCGACCTCCGCCGGCGCCGAGAGGAACTCGAGAGCCTCCTGGCCTTCGCCAGACTCAAGGTGCAAAGCGTCGCGTTTCGCCCCGTCTCGCTTCGCCCCGCCGCGTTTCGCCCCGCGGGCGTGACCCAGGGTGACCCGCATCGATATGATATTCAACGCGTGCTTCCCTTCGGCAATTTGCAACGTCTGGGTTTTTTGCCTATCTAATCTCTGTAAATAAATTGCGTCGCTTTAATTACGATGGATTTTTGAGTTAACGGAGTCAATTCACAAATTTTGGGTTAATTCACAAAATCCCACACCCTGAAATGAAATCAAACTGAAACTCGACAGACTCTCGACTTTGGGTCGTTAATTACTGCAACGAAAGGAGTGAAGTTTTTAACCGTTTTTGGTGCGCGTATCTTCAATAATTTGCCATTTCCCTTTCCTGATATATCGTAATTACTCAATAGCAAAAATGGCTCTCGACCTGCTGAAGGTGAGACTGAAATACAAAAATACTCATTGACGGAGAGATATAGGTGTTACAGATCGATATTTCGCCTGTACTGGAGCTCATT